AGACCCTGCTGCCTCCTCCAGTGATCTAGGACTTGTGGGATACTTTTGCAATCTATGCACCAGATTCAGCCTAACCATGTAGGTGAGCGAGCTCAGTGTGGACCCACTCGGTGGACTACCAGAAAAAAAAGAGTATTTACCCTGAGGTCAGGAACAGGGTGGATTAGGAGGGAAAATCAAGGTGCACCAGAACTTCATGTGAGAATGATATGTTGCCTCCCTGCCTGTCAAAATTTGTAATGCATTTTGGGCTTGCATCTTTAAAAACAAAGAAAAAAGGGAAGAAAAAAAGAAAGTGGACTGTTAGAAGGTCTTTTTTTTCTAAGTACTTCCAAAAGCTGCCTAGTAAGGTGATGTGTACATGACCAAGATGCAATTCCATGTTCAGTCATTCACTGTTTCTTACTACAAAATAAAACAACAAAAAATTGATGTTACTATCAGTTTGTAATGGTGCAGCTTTATGCTGGAGATCATTACGTTTTCTGCCACCTTGGAATTCCCATGTGCTGTTAGTATGTTGTTTGCTTTCTGATTTGAGCTATGCCCCTTGGAAAAGGTCATGTCTGCAGTGTTTTTGGAAATTATATTTATTTTCCACAAGTGTGCAACTTCAGAACAGCTTAGCTACTTGCATCAGACTCTTCCTGTTCAGGGCAAAATAGCCTCAAAAATAGCATCTAGGGATATGAAATAGTTGGAGTATGAGTTCGTGGTTTTGTTACTTGTGGTTTTAACTGAAGCACATTGTAGTTTTTCATTAGCTGTTATTTATTTCGGCATACCATGAAATTGCCCTTCTCATCACCCTGACGGATAGCCATCTCGCGTTTTTAAACTACTCTGCTAAATTAGTTAGCTTTTAAAAGGAATATGTGCTGCTTTGGTATATCAGGGTATTAAGCCAGTGTCTGTAGCATCAACTCATTTTGGCTGATTTATCACTACAGTGATCTGCATGTTTTCTAGACCTCAAAGAAGAGGAACTAAAGTATTCAGCAGGCTGTATTTTCACTAGAGGAAAAGTTTATGTTACCATTTGGTCAACTCCTAGAAAGGACCAGGTAGTTTCCAAATGTACTAGCAAGTTGACGTAGATAGTGGGCTCTTTCTGAGTCGTTCTCCTGGAAAGTACCAGCAGTGTGTTCCCAGGGATTTTTGTACATGAGCTGTATGTGGTGAACACCAAAAAATCCTGCCTTCCCACCATGGCATAGGCATACTTTGAATGATTTGCCCAGGTATGCTTGGACAGAGGAGGGAGCTGAGTTTGTGTGTGCAAAATAGCAGGGTGGTATCACGTAATGCAGGCCTGTGGTAGAGGTGGTATCTGGCTGGCTTAATATGTAAAAGCCACAGGCTGGCTGTTCTTGCAGACTACGCGAAAAAGTGTGTGTGTGTGTCTTCTCCATGAACACTTAATCTCGGAGGCAGAGTCCTAGGTTTACAGTTGCTCAGTACTGCAAGGCATCCGAGCATGCAGCCAGTTTACCTAGGCATCATTCTGCTCCCCAGCCTCTGCTGCCGGTGTTCCTAATCTACCTGTTTGGTTTTTAAGTTGAGAAAGACCGTGGCACCTGCCAGCAAAGGGAGGCAGAGCAAGATGAGGTTTTTCCAAAGCGACACAAGGCCGGTTGGGACTGGCCCAGGCAGAACTTTGAGCTTGGCCTTGCCTCTGCTGAGACTTTCTCTCTGCCTTGCCTTTACCAGCAGCATTCAGACTGCTGCTTCTAGACTTGGAAAAGTAGAGAGTCCTTGAACAAACACTACCTTGGCACCGAGCGTTATTGTCATAACATCTGCCCAGAGACATGGCAATGATCAGAAACAGTTGTTGCAGTGGATGCAGCGCATCTTCACTATCACTGTTTTTCCAGGGAAAAGAGATCTCAGTTGCACCGCTCTGTAGCACATGCTGCCTGATGTAATGACAGGTTGGGATTTTTCTCAGTTTTCTTTCAGATGTTATCTTTTGCTCTGCGTTACCAGTCTTTTGTCTCATTTCTTTCTTTGGAAGTGAAGAGGTTGTGGGCTATTGAGTTCAATACAGAAAGTTGTTAATCTCACACTCTTTGTCTCGCAGTGGAAACAATTTCTATTTAATTGGTTAAAATTGTCTTCCCAGTGGTCATATGTTGGACAGCTTCAAAATGTTGCCTTAGTAGATCTAGACACTTAATTTGAGCAGTGGTGACACACATCAGGCAAGGTGGCAGCTGTGCCTGTGAGCCCTGTATCTATGCATCAGTGAATTTCTTTTTGAAGCAGATAATTGCAAGGATTTTAAACAAAGAATGTAATCTTTAACCTTTGACAGTCTTTATATCTCCACCAAAAGTTAATGCTGCTGCGCTTATGCTGTGGTCCAGTATTGTCACTTTTCTATTAAGCACTAGGTCTTCTTGAGCTGCTTGATATTACCTAATCCTAATTTAAATCCGAGCAATATTGCACTCTGAAGCTGACTTGCATCTTCCTCTTCCAGTCTTTCCTTTATAAGAAATCAATGTTAATATGTAAAAATTGGACATCTACAGCTATTTAACTCCGTTAATTGAATTCTGAAAAGCTTAAAAGGTAAGCTTAGTACATCACTGTTAAAGCCTACTGATGTCTTACAAAGATGTTGCACTCTTTTACTACGGAGATCTGGCAGTATGTTACTTGCATGCAGTGATAGCTCTAATTGGAAACCTAATAGGATACAAGAGATTTCTAAGACTATTAAAAATAATAATATATTATTTTTTAAGTCTGTGGGATTTTTTTATTGACGGTCCTTTGGGTTGAAGCTGGAAATGAAATACAAAATGCTGAAATATTTCTCGTTGGTTCAGAGGGCCATATTCAGTGCTAATCACGCATCATGTTTCTTGAGCGCTGAAGTGCTCCCCGTGGGCCGGTCTCGTGATATAAATTCCAACAGTAAATCGGCGCTAACAAAGCTCAAGTGCCTGTTCCGTTCAGTAGCTCCATCTTTAGGGGAGAGAGGGGAGGATGATCGCCGGTGCAACTCGCAGTAATGACAGCATGTCAGTAGGTTGCTAATACGTACGTGAAGAGGTGATTCCTTGGAGTGGTGGCTGAGGGTGCCCCAGAGAGCCCTTTTCAGTAAGTTTGTGCAGTTAAGCTGGTGTCTTTGGAGAGGTAGAGCTTCCTGTCGACATACAAGGCTCTTCCAGTCTAGTGCACAAGTGGTAGCTGGAGAATACTGACTGCCCAAATATATAGACCTGCACAGGACAGGGACAAGTCATTGAGGTGGAGCGGGATGCCGGGAGTGCTCGGGATGGAATGGCTTTTACTTTAATTTAGTACCGATCTTGAGCTGCGCAGGGTTTTGTGTTCTGAGGAGAGAAATCTTTCCCCAGTGGCTGGTGCCTCGCCTTGCAGAGAACCTGTCTCCCTTTACTGCTTTCTTACATGCTTTCCTTCCCCTGGAAGCACACTTTTAGTCATAGCTTCGCTGTTGTTGAACTATTTAGCACCAATATATTGTGAACTTTTATTTTTAGTTTAATCTGAAAATAAAATTCTAGGTTTGATAACAGAATTAACTGGCTTTCTCTCCCCTGATTCCCCTGCTGTCAAGAACATGTTCACCAGTACTGCAAAGAACGGGGGAAAAAAGCATGTCTCTGATCACTGTTGTTACGTTGAGAATTTATGTTTTCGTAGTTGTATTTCTATTTGTAACACTGTTACTAACACCTAGCAATTACTCTGGTTCCCTTCACATTAATCAAATGCATATTGTCATGTATGTATTGAATTTATTGGATTGCCTTCCTTCTCAAGTAATACTGCTCCATGATTGTTATAATATGAAAAGAGCCTTTTTTTATCCTTCTGTCTTATATTAGCCTTGTTAAAAGAATGGGGAAAGAAGAGCAAGGCTGGTTTTCATTGTATTAGGGCTGTAAAAATCCAGCCCCTTGCAGAACAAGGGGAGAAGAGATTTCTGAAGTCATAGCACATCCATGATGGAAAAAGCTGTGTCAGCACCTCCCTTTATGCAAAGGGAGTTTTCAGCTCTGACATCTTGCAGAAAAAATACCATAGCAGCACAGAAAGAAAGAGGTAGCAATGGAGTCCTAAACCATTAATGCCTTTATAGGTTGAGCTGTACTTAGAAATACTCAGTGACATATGGCACGCTACAGAATACAAGCGTGTGAGCATCTCAGTAAAACTGATTTTCAACAAGCAAACATTTGTGTTCGGCAACACCTTTAGCTGTACTGCTCTTGGTGAGCTGCTGGCAGGTTAGGGAAAATCTAGAATTAGACAAAGCCGATCTGAGAAAACGCTGTTTTAATTTGACACAGTGATTTTAATACCCCTTACAAAAACAGTTCCACAGTACAAACAGTATCAATGGGATGAGTTCATGTGGCCTCGTTTTAGAAGCCAGTGTAGCAAAATGATAAAAGTGTAGAAAATTTTGACATTTAAGAGTATCATCATGTATTTGGCCTCCTTCAATTATACCATGAGCCTTGGTTTAGCAATAGTACAGGAATATATTTTAATTTTGAAGAACGCACAAGATTAGCAAAATCAACATAAGTCCTTAATTTATTTAGTATGGTCTTTGATGCGCTACAGTTTTATTAAGACTGAGCTGGAAGAGCCATTTCTGAAATACACTAGGAAATCATTCTTTGAAACTTAACTCTGTTGTGTTGAGATAGTGTAGCACATTTAGGAGTAGTTCTGGGCAATGCTGCTCTTATAAATGTCAGGAGAGAGAAGCTGAAAACCATACCCCACCTCTAGTTTCTCAGCTTTGCTAAGCAGTCTGGAACACTCATTAGTCAAGGTAAGATCTCTGAGATCTTGGAAGCATTCAATCTACTTTTTATCCCTGCCTTTATTTCAGGTGGTGTATGAAGTGTAACACTGAAAACTTTCTTCCGTATCATACCTGAAGAATGTAAGAAGTCATATTTATTTGAACTGTGGTAATAGTCCTAAACCATTTGTGTTTTTTATCTCAGTGCTGGCCCCAAAGGTGATAACATCTACGAATGGAGATCAACCATTCTAGGACCTCCAGGTTCAGTCTATGAGGGAGGTGTTTTCTTCCTTGACATCACATTTACACCAGAATATCCTTTCAAGCCTCCAAAGGTAAGAGACCTGTAGCTGACATCTTAAGTCATGAATGCTCAACAGACCATAGAGTAGCAAGCAGTGTTAATGAAATGCAGCCCATTTGAAAGCCACGAACAAGCTTAAGCTCATTTCAGATGTTACATTGGTTTCTGTTAGCTAATGTTAACAGCTTTTCCAATCCTCTTGAACACTATTTTAGAGGTTGTTTTCTTTTTCCTTGCTTCTGTTCATAAGAAGTCCTAGGCAATTAGCACAAGCATCAGGACAGGACTGAGAAACTGAAGAGTAAATAAACTTGGGGAGAGGAGAAAAGATGCAAATACTTGTTTCTCAAACCACTCAGTTACCGTAAGCATAACAGTTATGTGTGTTTTGGCCACTAAAGTAGTATTTAATTTTTCAGTTTTGTCAGGTACTTGTATTGTTCACCTAGTTGTACAGTAACAAACTTTTTCTGTAGGTGTGTTATATTCATGAAGCTTGTAGATTCCAGTGTTGTGTTGCAATGCTACAAGGCAAATACCAGTGCATTTGAATGTTATCTTGCAGTTCGCATGCTTTGCCAGAGGAAGAGTGTTGGGTTACAAGAAGAGGTGGTTGTCTATACACTTCATGTTTGCCTTGTATCTGAAAGCATTTACGTGCATGTTTAACTTTCTACTTAAGTTGTTGCATTGATGAGATAAATGCCAGTGACTGCCCCATCTTCAGACTTCAGTCTAGTCTGCCACAGAAAGGACTTGCCATAGTTCAGGCCATAAGCTCATCTCAGCAGAGGCAATGCTAATTGGTCATAACAGACAAATTAATACAAGCTTTCCAAATTAAAGGGAACTGTTTCACTGTTCTTGCTAGCACAACGTCAGGGTTTCTGGTAGTATCAACAGGACCGTAAATTCTACCCCTAAGCTAGGGCTCCAATTCACAAGCTGCATGGTCTGCCTTGGGACATTTCTAGTGATTTCCTG